CCTCCTGTGTGTGCGAGCGCCGCCGCCTCCTGCAGCTGAAGCTCCGCCTCCTGCCGGGCCTGCTCCGCACCGTGGATCTGCAGCCGCGCTGCCGCCAACTCGCGCTGCGCCGCGACGAGGTCAAGCCGCAGCGCCGCCACCGTCTCTGCGAGCTGCTCCTTCTCCTGGCGCATGGCCTGGATAAGGCTGCGGTTCTCCGCCAGCGAGCGGTCGCCAGGGAAGAGGTCAAAGAGCAGGTCCTGTGTGCACTGTTGCTCGAGCAGTGCGAGCTCCACGCGACGCAGTTTCGCCCGTAGCTCCTGCGCGTCGTCCTCCTTTGCCGCGAGTTCGCTGCTGTGCCGCACCGCCTCCACCTCGTACCGGCGCACGTTCTCCTGCTGCGCCTCGTAGCGCCGCTGCAGCTGGTAGTTCTGCTTCACGTGCCCCGCAATGAGGAGGTCCTTCTGCGCGATCTGTTCCGCCGCCNCTCGTAGCGCCGCTGCAGCTGGTAGTTCTGCTTCACGTGCCCCGCAATGAGGAGGTCCTTCTGCGCGATCTGTTCCGCCGCCAGTGCCGCCTCCGCCACGCGCCGCTGCTCTCGTTCGGCGTCCGTCTGCGTGCAGCGGTCCAGTTCCTGCTGTTGCTTCACATTCGTCTCATGTGCGTACCGCAGCTGTGCCTCGAGGTCAGCGATGCTCATTTTGGCGGCGTCGAGCTCGCCGACGGTAGCTTCGTACTCGTCACGCGTCATCATCGACGCCATGCGCTCCAGCGCCTCGTCGCGTGACCGCACCGCGTCGACCATTGCCTCTTCCAGTCGCCACATGCGGTCTAGCATGACGGTGTGCTGCTTCCGCTCCTCGTGGTGCGCCGCCAGCAGCGCCTCGTACCGCGCGTGCGCCCCGGTGAGGCGCGTGCGCAGCTGCTCCAGCGTATTGTCGAGCTGCTCATCATCATCCTCGTCGTCGTTGCTACCGTTGCTGTTGCCGTCATTGACGGCGCTCTCCTCCGCGACGCCGGTGCCCTCGGCTTGTTGCTCGGCAGCAATGCGCCGCACAGCCCGCCGCCGCCGTGCCGCCAGCTGCAACACCCGCTGTACGGTGTGCTCCTTCAGCGACGCCGTCCGCAGCAGCGCCGTGATGTTGTGCAGCAGCTGCGCCTCGTCGGTATCGCCAGCCGCTGTTGCTGTTGCTTCTGCCACTGGATCCGTCTGCGTCTGCGTGGCGGTGGTGGACGTGGCCAGCGGAAGGTCGGCGATGGCCGCTCGGAGATCGGCGGCGGTGCGCAGCAGGAC